AGTCCTTGAGACAGCCTGGACCCCAGCCATTTAGGACTTCATAGGTTAGAGCCAGCACTCTGAATTGTGCTTGGAAATGGATCAACAGCCAGTGGAGCTGCTATAACAGGGGAGTTATATGATCCCTGTAACCAACCAGAGTTATTTGGCTGCTGAAGTTTCTTGACATTTTCCATAAGAAACCTAATGTAGAGCTTGTTAAAGTAATCCAGCCAGGAGGTAATTAGTGTCACCATGGCCAAATCAAACCTCTTAAGTCTACTCATAAGTGTATCTGGCACACTAGTTTTAATTGTGCAAATGCACTCCTGGTCACTGCTAAAACCTGAGCATCCAGACTCAGAGATGAAGCTAGGAACACCCCCAAGCTGCACACCAGTGTTTTCAGAGGGAGTGTAACCCCATCCAGCATAGGCTTCATCCCTGTTCCCTGATCTGCCTTTTGATTGACCAAGAGCACCACTATCTTGTCTGAGTTAAGTTTCAGTTTATTCACCCTCATCTGGTGATCTAGAGTCAAAAGAGCTTCCTGAGATTTGGATGGCAAGGAGAGGTGGAGGTGGATATCATCCCCATACTGGTACTTACCCACATTGTGATTACTCTATTGCTTTGATTGTTTTTTACTTTTCTTACAAGGTGCTCAAGTGTGTAAGAAGCAGTATAAATGGTAAGAAACATAAGAAGAGTCATGAATTGCATCTAGTCTGGTCCTGCATTCCCACAGTGCCTAGCCTGATAGTCATGGAGCCCAGAAGCAGGACAGGACACCAATAGCATCGTCACACTTATGTGCTACACACATCTCAGTTTTATCTTCAGAGCAAATCTGTGAAATATGTTTGTTAAGAGATAGTGAGTGAGCCAAAGTCATCCAATGAACTTCACACATGAGTGGGAAATTCAACGTGGGTCTCTCTGGATGTAGGCTGCCACTCTGTCCTGCAGAGAGGGGTCTGTGAAAATCCAGATGTTGTTGGATTTCCCCTCTGCCTCTGCCAAGCTGGCCAGTGCTGAAAGATGATGGACGTATTTGTTCAGATCTGAAAGCTCACAGATCCCCCACCCATGCTTTTACTCATTGGTTCTCATTAGATCTCACTGGATGCCCGTTAG